GCGAGTTAGTTTTCTACGGGATGGGGACGCTAACCCCATGCCCGACCCTCCTCCTTTATCCGGGCTTGGGACCAGCAGTAGCCCCCGGAGGGACTCCAGGTGGAGTTGTTATTGAAATATACATATCACCAATCCTCACATATAATCATCGACTTAACTCACATTAGTGAATAATGGAATTAAATAAATCAAATACGAGAATGGATTTTTAACACGTATATTTTGAACACTCACTGATTTGGACAGACAGTCAGAGGAACGAAGCGAAGTGACGCGCGGTGGAGAAGGCATATGAGCCAACTCGTTTTAGCCGAGAGTTATTCAGTACTTATGGCCGAAGAAAAATACGTTGCAGAAATTTGATGAATAGGTTAACAAATGAACACACATACGCTCATATAAAAACAGTCAAGGTTGATAAGCAAATAATTAACAAGTTCAAAATGTGACTCAGAAAGAATGAATAAATTAGACTGTCCGGAAGCTAGAATACGTTGTGTGGGCTTACCATAGTAACTGACACTACACAACCCCTTTGTAAACAATAGCACATTTATTTGAAAAAATGTGTTTTCAAAAATAACGCTGAAAGGGTTATGTGGTTAACAATAACGATAAGTATCGAAAAAAATTTGTACTATTTCTGATAGAGTACAATGTCACATGAGGGGCGAGTGTATTATACGAAAGTGTCATACCCATGTAAAAGAATACACGAATATCGTAAAGGCGCGGACTAAAATGGAAATGTTAGCATGCGATTATGAACAGAATAATAAGCGTACAAAAATTAACATACATTCATGTTGCGACTATCTGAACGACAAAATAACACGTTCGTATGAGCGATTCAAAATATTGTAAAAGCAGAAATTAATCGTTTATGAGGATGACAGCGTAATAAATCGTGAAAATTCGTCAGGTAGAATATAACAGAAATCGGTTTGGTGACGACAGGAATCGAGGATAAAGAACAGTGAAATATGAAAATGTTCTAATAAGCCGCAGTAGGGTAAATAGCGTCGACTAGCGATTAGTGAATTCGAATTCACACACACGGGGCTTATGTGGGATAAGAATAATTCAGCGGTAAATTGATAACCGCATTGGTGGGTGATATTAGTTGCTGTGCTGCAGTTGATAATAATCATAGCATGTGAAGTCAGTGTACGTTGTTCTTCGAGTGATAGCCAGATGCATCGAGTTATCGTTAAATATGTATTAGTAGAATGAGCGGAGGAACAGAATAAAGACTGCGGAGACGAGATAAGCGGAGTCGTATTCGTTTTTGGTCATGAAACCTAGCTTGCGGGATAGGTGCTCAACCTCGCCTGTCAGAAAACCGTACTAAGGCGTGATAAAAATACCAATACATATGACTGTTCATGAAGATGAGTGAGATCAACTTGGATACTACGAACAAGAATGTATCCTTAAGAGACTATCTCTGAACTCTATGTTCTGACATACAGTGCGACGGGAATCGAATTATGTTTATGGGTACTGTATGATGCAGCATGCAGTTATACATGTGAACGAATAGATAAGATGAACATAATCGTTACTAAACGGTTAGTATATAGACATTAAAGAATGGATCATCGATTAAACAAAAAATGGCTGAAGTTCGGTCTAAATTGTCGTTGAAAAAGTGAGATATGACGATTGCTGCGTACAAATACGATGAATGAACATTAGTCGCCTCTCGACCATGCCGTTATCAGTGTGCAGGAGGTTCGCTCGACCGCTTAGACTAAAGATTCGTGTACGAGCAGCTAGTAAATATGTGACATGCGGTAGCCATATATCCTCACAAATGAACAATAATAATTTAGCCATTGATGTGATGATACAGAACATAATAAAAATGATCAATCTTAACAAAAGGATTATTAGAATTAATCGCATCAACAGACATAATAAGAGATGATATGGAAATGAATGATTTGTGGTAGAATTACACAAAAATGACCTCGACTACATAAATGAGCGTAATAATAGGGCAAAAATGACACGGAAAAAAATAAACGACCTCACTTAAATAACCAACATTTTACGTTACTGAATAATTAAAAATAGTCCAGTAAGTTTCGAATGTCATAACGTGAATGAAATGTTCAACAAATTATAATTTGTTTGGTGAGAAATACGACTGAGTATCATAATTTAATGTCAACACGAGCAAAAATAATAATCTCATGTTAGGTGATACAACAATAATGTAATAACGACAATAATAATTATTATAATCATAATGGAATGAAACACCGAATAGATCAATGAGAATTGACACAAAGACAAAGTACCGATAAGAAAATACAATTTGAGCATGTCCATGTCGCTGCAGTACCAGTTTCAATAAATGCGCTGGATTAGAGATTGAATCATTTGAGTAGCTCTTTGATTAAGTCAGACACTTCGATCGTTTATTGGACGCGTAGATTTCGATATGTTCACCGTCTGCGTAAATTTTCAGGGTGTGTTTATTCCGAAGTCAGGCTTGCCACTCCGATTTTATCATATGGTCGGAAACTGCGGTGTTTATCGATTGAGCTGGCTTCGCTAAGCTTGTTCGTCAAAAGAATAGAGTTCAGAAGGTTCTTCATCAACGTAGTTTTCTGCGTTAGTTTCGTCGTTGGCGGGCTCATCACTTTTAGTGGCCCAATATCTGATTGCAGCTACATTGTACGATTGATTGTTATTGCAGTAAAATGTAAGTATATCACATTATTATGTCAGAGCAAAACTACAAAACAGTTAGTCACAAGCCTATGAGGTCATCATCCACAAACAATTAACTAGCCAATTTTGATTTTTTTTTATTTTAGTGAGAGTAACAAGAACATGCTGTTTCACTGTTTTACACCTTAAATAATTTGATTACAAGTCGCATCAAGTTTGAACGGACTTCTCCTTGCAAATAATATTGAATTCCATATCATATGATTTTATAAGAAATTTGAAAATGTCAATTAAAAATCCTACCAGGAAATACAACTGTAGTTTCTATTTTTCACAACAAGTAATTGCGCTGTGTACGTGAAGTTATTTTTATTAATATGAGAAATCTCACATTATCAGTGACTTAACCAGCTAGCAGGTTTATTACAATTTACAGGAACCCTCTACTGAAGCAAGTATCTTACATTTAACGACGTTGACATACTTCATGTCGGAGGGAATGTATATTCATAAGACGTTTTAGGTACGATATAATAGCATATCAGCGTAGCGTTTGATTATAGCGAATACAACATTAGCTAATTAAAATCACATGAAATAATGAATAGCCGCTTCTTAAGGCAAAAATTATCAAACGGCTTAAACCTAATCTAACCACTCAGAAAGTATTAGTTGTCAACTAGCCGTAATGATAGTCATATGATCCTTCTAGTAATTCCTTAAAATTTATTCGTCACCTCATCTTACTCGAAATACTTCCTCTTCATTGTGCGTTCTTCATACAGCCATTCAGACCTGGAAAAACTTACAAACTATTTACAGTTATAAGGCAAACCATCTGACCAATTTTATACCTTTGGATCTTACTTCACCGTCCCACTGTATTTTATAAATTATTCATTATGTACACAGACAATCTTATTAATAGCCCAACGTTTCAAGTATTGTTAATCTTATGCAACATCGTGTTACTATTCTATCAAAGCAGTACTGTTTGTTAGTTTAATTCAAGTTGCAATTAACTACCGAAATTCTCAAGATTACACGAATCTACATTGCTGTTCCTGCTCAATTCAAAGTTATTAAACAAAAAAAACACTGAATGAAGTTAGCTACTTATGTCTAATGTTGTATAAAATGTTTTGAGGTAAAATCAACGTTTGTCATCCCGCGTTATTCTGACATAACCTATCACTTTGATTTTAAATAATAGAAGCAGCTGTAAAAATATGGTATCTCTTCAAAATTAACTTTTATACGTTTACGCAATACTTATAAAGCTTAAGAAAAACTCCCAGAGGAACATCCTTATGATACAACTAATTGACTTTCATTTCAAAGAAACTTTGGGAATAACCAGCAACAGTCATTCATTTATTAATGAAGAAATAGCTTTCAAATTATTTCTGACTATCAAGGTATATTTGAATAGTAATAATTACAACAGATTAAAAATGTTTGATAAAATCAGCTGTTTTTCTCACCATAACATGTACTCTCAAATATTTCATGGTTCATTTTCTTCATATATGATCACAGCTATAAGTAAATTATAACAAGTCATAAGGAATGACAGAAGGATTTACAATAATTGAAGCCTATGCTAATAAACTCAAAATGAATATCAGATTTTAATGTAGTTGATCTAAATGCACATGACAATTCCTTACTTGAATAAAACTGATTTAATATAGAAATTTGATATGGATAACCAATCAGAATTAGCAAAAGGTAAATCGCTGGTTATCAGAAGTGACCTAAAGTTCAAATGCATTTCATTGACTGAGAAATGAATCAATTCATATAAGAATGAATATTTGTGCATTCTATTCGGTAGTCCAATACAGTTTCTCGCTCAAGTGGTTAATTGGGAGATTGGCGTTTAGCACACCGTGTATCGGTATCAGATTTCGGATACCGTAAGTTTCAATAAAATTAATGAACACTAGTTGGTATTGAGCATTTCATAAGGGAAGAAAAACAATTACGTCATAAAGTAATATTTTTATTCCATTTAAAATTACAGATAATCAAAACTAAACAATCAGGAACTAATCAAAATAAAATACTCTAAAACAATATATAAGAGACCAAGTGAATTGAGTAGTCAATAAGATTTATACTCACATACAAATAGATTTACAATTGCCAACCATCCAAACAAGATGCAATAATAACAAAGATCTTTTTCTTAATAGACAAAAGATATTGAAACAATATATAGCGGAAGTGTTGAAAACAATGAAGGACTAATGAAAAAGATCGCGTATACAAAATAACAATAATCGAAAGGTGGGTAATTTGTTGTTAATTTATCACTAATAAAGATTTTTATTGTACCTATAATATAAAAGAAACGAAAAAATAATATTCCAGTTCAAATGAAACCAAAAGAATATAGTTATAAACATTACCATGAAATTATTCAAGTAATAGCTAATAGAGTATTTCGTTGAATGTTAATTAAGTGGTCATAGTATAACTTATTTTGGGATAAATTAATTTACATCATTATCAGAAGGGGTTTTGTGGAGATTTTAGAAACTTCACTGATTGAAAGAGAAGCCGTTACCAGTATAGTTCAACAAGGTCGGTTGTGAGATATCAACTCACTGAGGACAATGGTGTACGGTGGCGCAACTTCGTGGATTGGTTGAAGTTATACATTAACATCGTTAGATGCCGGCTCAGTGGTCTAGTTGGTTAAGCGCCTGGCGCGAAACTGATAGGTCCTGAGTTCGAATCTCGCGGGGTGTGGGATCGTTGACGCGCACTTCTGAGGACTCCCATGTTAGGACGAAACGGCCGTCCAGTGCTTCCAGGGCTTTCCATGGTGGTCTAGCTTCAATTGACTCATGATTTCAATCAGTAATTTAGATTAGTAAATAATTTTAATTAAGAATTATGAAAAATGCACTGGCCACCTCAAAAGTAATGTAAACATAGACAGAAAACAGGAAACGTCAATGAAATTAGATATTAGATTCGATTAATATCCCGTTTCAAAATGCGATCATCTTACAAAAATATGAAACGATATGATACATGATTTGCTGCCTGTATCAACTACCATATATTCTACTTGCGTGTCAGGAGAGTCCAACAAAATAAAGGAAGAAAAAGCTGCGCAAAAAGTTGTACAACTCGATAAATGTACGTACAATAAATATGTATTAAGAATTAAATGGAAAAATTATGACTACAGCAAGTATGAGACCTTTAATAGATAAAGAATTTACTAACTCAACCAACCGTGAGAAAGCTTAGAGTTGGTTCGCTATTTAGTTTCGACAATGAACGTTACCTGACTGTATTTGCTCAGTATATCACATACGTTTCTGATGATTTCCAAAACATACCATTTGGATTTTACCGGTCAAATGGTTCATACTGAATATGGTGTTAGGCATAAAGATTGAGACTATAAACGAAGTAGATAAACTCTCAGATAGTATGCAATAGTACGAACATTGGCACATAATAGGTTGGCTAATTCTTAGCCAATCAGCACTAGTCGATAGTTGGAGAATGCTCTAGAATCTTCTCATGTAAAAACTATAAATGTACTGACGTTTTCCCTGTTGTGCTTCTTACTTCCATCTGACCTTGTTATTTGGAATATAATCTCTTTCCTGTTCAACCGTGTTCTGAATTAGGGACTTGTCGAGTGAATCGGTGTCCGAGAATACTAAGCGATAGGAATAGCTAGGTCATAACCGTAAGAAAAGAGATTATAACAGTCCATGAAGTGGACCAGCAAAGTTCAAATGTATACGCTACTACGGTGACTGTGGTATTGGCCATGATTGCAGCTCTGCTTTTCGCGGTGCTTTTGTTGCTAATGCACATTTGGTACACGAACGGGATAGCTGCTCCAGTTGGGTGTCTAGATGCGGCCAGTATACATAACTTCGTGCTAGTGCTTTCATGCGATTTATTCCAGGATGTCCTGCATGCAACTGTTCAAGCACTGCTGGTTGTAGCTTCTTGGGGATTACGACACGTTCGGCAAACAGCAGGCAGTCGTTGATGATTGAAAGAGAGTCTTCGCTGGTAAAACTGTTGAAGCTCTGTAGAACTGATTTTCGAGGGCCACCCTTCCAGGTGGAACTTTCTAACTTCTTGTAGGGTTGGGTCTGGAAGAGTTTCTTCTGACTTTATGTGACGACACTGGAGTGTTTCGAATGGCATCTGCCACTATACTTCGTATTTCTGGGTCTACTGCTGTGGAGGCAATGATTATATCCTCTGGTCCAGGATGTTGAAGTCCAATTAATCGAGTGAGAGGTCCCCTAAATGAATTACTGCCAAAAGATAAACCTTTGCAGTGATCAGCAGAATGTCAAGCATCTTCTGACAGAGTCAAATCAATGCTCAGAAGGCTAAACTTCTGTAGATAAACGGCTATAACAAAAGCATCATAGAATTATGATAGTGAAATACATCTAACAAAACTTACGAATATAAACTGTGTACACCACCTTCCAGTTGCGCTGATGAACTTCGATGTTCAAAGCGTAACGTTCCATTTCTCGACATATTGTGTAATTCTGTTATATTTCTAGCGCCAACTTGTTGTAATCCATGTTTAACACCAGCTACTAAATACGGAACCAACTGATGAACTGAACCTCTATCAATAATTGTTCCAGAAACACCTTGGGCAACTTTAATACGATCTGATTCACTGAAATATCTCGCTTGACTTTCTGTATGCTGAGACATCGCTTCTAAACTCCCCATACCTATGGAAAAAAGCGTTTTAGAAATACTGTCAAAGGTTGTCAACAACTTAATCCAAAGGATAGCCATAACACTACAAGATATATGTTTTAAAACATGTAGACATTTCCATTCATAATAATTGATCTCCCTTGAACTACAATATTAACAATTAAAATAAAACTGCATGGCATTTTTTTCATTTAAAGTTGCATAAATGATGGCTTCATCGATAATAATTAGGTAATAGTAGATGGATGAATAAGCTAACTGACCGATGTGGAAAATACTGAAAATGTGCACTTTACATATCCTTCAATATTTATACGGTCAATACGGATTAAATGAATTATTTTTAAGTATACTAGCTGAAGAGTAACATTACCTCGGTATTTTTTCAATTTCACGCCATCAGAAAATATATATTCTCCAGCTGACTCCGTTGTACCAGCTAAAAGTCCACCCATCATAACTGCAGATGCACCAAAACTCAAAGCTTTAACAATATGACCGGCATTTTGAATACCACCATCTGCTATCACAGGCACATCATACTTATGAGCATATTCAGATACCTGTGAAATTTTGGAGATATCATAATACAAAATATGCTTTGCTTCAGCTAATGCAATTTAAACTGTTTGTAAATTTCATGCATTCATCAATATATTAAGAATATCTGAATTAAAAAAATAGTATTTCTATCAGTGTAACTATCCTAACCAATTAAATGTATCGACATGGGAAGGTGGGATTGCAGCTTAATCCTTGAGATTTACATATCTAATTTATCAAAAAGTACATTTGATATGTGAACGAATTGTGTAAAGAATAATGATTCTGTTCAGTTACTCTAACTGACATGGCCAGATTAGCTTAGAAACTGACCTATTTATTCACATAGTTATCACAAACTATAAAAGATCATTTAGAACTAACTTATTATGAAGGTGAAGAGTTCAAGTAAATTCAGTGTCTTTTTTATCAAAATAAGAAACAAACTATTTTTTATACCCAGTGACGTAATCTAATATGCATTAACATCCAGTTATAGTATTCACAACCCGATAACAAAAGTAAAAAAACCATTTTTATTCTCCTCTCTATACGAATTACTTCACTAGTAAATTTTCAAGACTCTAGAATAGTTCGCTGCAATTTGTTCGCGAAATAAAATCACTGCCATCATTTGTTCACTACATCGATAGTTACCTCTCCTCAGAGAGTGACATAAATATACACCTGTGACATCTTATGACACTAGTGAAATTATATTGACATTAGTGTTTGATCATCGATTTTACAGAGAATATTAAATAAACTTGACTTCTTGTAAATATTTTACACCATTACTATACCCGGTTAATTTTGTTAATTTAAATAATATCTATTTAGATCAGTAGGCAATAAAACAACTTAGCATATGTGTAACAGCGGACCAATCATAGCAATCTTTGATGTTGTTCTGTGCTCTCCGTTTCTGTTTTCTTTTTCTAGTTGTAGATGACTAAAACTACTCTGTAATGACTCTGGAATTGTCCCTCAACACACTATACATACTTCTATAGGAGGTTCCAGTTCTTCTGCTAAGAATATCTAGTTCCCAGCTGTCGTCTTTATTATGACATTTGTCACACATATCCTTCCTTCCACAACAATTTACGAACATGTTTTCAAAAAAATTTAATCTTACTACTAACCTGATTATGTCTGTTAAATTGGTATTCATTCTGTAATAATTTCTAGAATACAATTTATTTATTTGTTATTCTCTATCTAATTAGCGGTAGTTTATATTCCATATACACGTAGTTTACCAATGCAGTTCAAATTAAACTTACTTTATAAACAGCTTTAGCTTGTGATCTACCAACAGCAGTCACTTCTTGAGTAATACAAATTGATCCACTGCCCATTCCAACGCGTAACCCATCCACACCAGCATCAATTAAATTTTTCGCTTGTGCACAGGTAACAACTTGTTCATGGGAAAAAAAAAGAAATTATATATAGTAAATAATGAGTATTATTTGTGTTTATTACTAACGATGGTAGATAAATTTGTTTTAATTTGTGACTCTTTCTATCGAAAGCCATTCATTCATCAAAAGAAACTTCTTAGATTATTTAGAGAACTATTGAAAAATTGATGGGCTGACATTAACCTCATATTTATAGTTCAGTAGATAAATTTTGGTGAAACACTCAGTAAATATTTCTATTTTCTATGCTTATCTATCTCCATTAGATAAACAATTAAAAGTGAAATTAAAAATTATCTAAAAACATTCGTAAACTACTTTGCTTACTTATAAGTAGTGAAAAGATAAATAAGAAAAAACTTGCCAACAGTACAAAAATTTGTTATGGAAGCCCTGAAGACACTATCGATTTGCACGAATATACCTTCATCGACAAGCATCTCGAGCTTATTTTCATGTAAGTTTAACAGCAACCCAAAGCTGTTTTAGATGTATCAAGAATACTCCAGTTACATTTCTATATTAGGTGGTAGTACATACATATTACGAGACTACAATTAATTTGTAGGTATCATTACCAAGATTTTCATTACGCGACCGGCAATTTTTGTATTTTAAAAAATAAAAATTTCATCCACCTCATTTAAAAATTTTTTTCATCCCGTTTCGTTCAATTAAATGGCTAGTTTTAAATTCATATAATTGGTTAGTTATGTCTTGAAGTTGTTATAAATTATCAGTACTTGTCGACGAAGTACATTTGAATCATCATTATAGAGGAAAGAACGTGCCAAGTGCAAGCGCTGTTGTTTCTCACGTAACGGAAGCAGAGGAAGCATTTTTGACAACATTGTTTACCGTTGCGTTTCAACCCGTTGAAGTCCGCTATTACAACTTTTCAAAGACCTACTTACTGTCATTATGTGGTGAGAGATTCGCATTTGGACAGAGATCAGAATTCGTATATTAAATTTGTGTGTTGGAGAAATGGTCGTATAAGATCTAGCGGTTCGTCACAGAGGATGAGAAGGAAGAGGTAATTTGAATAATGTTATTACCTTTTTTCACGAAGGGCTTCCATGAACACTCAGTGTCCGGCCTTCATGTTTTGTAAGATTATAGACGGCTACTGGACTGTTTTACGTGGGAATGTGCATCACAATCACGAGTGCAATTCCCTGAGGTACCAAAGTAACTCATAGGTGTGTAGGTTAACAGAGAACGTGTTATCAAGGTAGTTACGATCAAGGAATTGGGAATGATGGATGTGAAGATTAAGATTAATTATCATAAGGAAAATAAATAATAATAACATTTTAAATGTTCATTGATGCAGTAGACCTTATTCATATTTATACGTTTAATGTCGATAGACATTTTTTGAGTCATACGGTAAAGGCTTGTTCATTTACACTTCATGAAACTAATATTTCAAATGCTTCTCAGAAATGGTTACATTCGTAATGTCTAGATATTTCAAGTTTCATATCACGGTTAACAATAGTCACATATGACTGCTTAAACACACTAGTTTTTATTATGACAAAAAAATTAATTTTAAAATGCAGAAATACAAAGAATGTACCCGTGAAAACAATAAGTCGTTTCAATGGATTTTAAAAATAACCGTATTGAAATCTAACGTTTTCTAATTCTTATTAAGAATGACTATTTACAAAATAACCATTTACTAAATATTAAGTGCCTATTGCGGAAAAATTATTACTTATTTGATATACCGTCAAAGTCGTTTCATTAGCCGATGGTTTACGGTTCGTTCGCCTGATTTATACATGTCGTAATCAGTAATTTATCATGATGATCTATTGATATGTTGATTTCTTTTTCCGATTAACATACTATGTGTTACTAAAAAGCTTATGCACATACTTTGGTGATAATTTGTTTATTAATTTGGTATTCAACTTTTGACTACCGACCTCATTCAGTAATCACTATTATCAAATATTCAAACCGGTTTTCAGTTCCTTTTTTCCAAAACTTTCTTTTAATGTGATACATATAATTATTCGTGTCAAGATATCTAACTACTTCAATTCAAGGTATACTTGATCGGAAAACAAAAATTTATCCCAATACACATTCACTAACAGTAGGATTGCACGGTAGTGCAATTAAGTTGGTGGCTTTTTCTTCAAAAGTCTAAATTTTTTTCAAGACTAAGATTACAAAAAAAATTACTCATTATCGTTAAATTTCAAATGTAAAAATGCAAATTCTGACATCCAATCAAAGCACTTGATGCTATTTCGATTTCAACTAATCAGATTACAAAGATGAACAGTTTACGACTAATTACAAAATTATTAGAGGTGACAAAATGTTTGTTCATTATCACTTGAGCACACACTTGCAAAACAAGTACACCAATCACCGATCCCTACATTTTTTTCACACCCTACAATTTCTAAGAAATGGGTGGTAAGGAACCATAATTGCCGTTCATTTAATGTCAACCCATTACCAAGGTTTAACTTGATAATTTCAAATAAATTGAGCATTAGGTAGATTGTTATAAATAAGAAATATATTTGTAATATCCCAATGAGTAGAAAAATAGATTTCCTGACGTTTCGTGACTTAGAGCAAGCCACTTCTTCAGAGAATTGTTTATTCTATGAAGAAATGACATACACTAAGTCACGAAACGCCAAAAAATCTGTTCTTCCTATCCTTTGGGATATTACAAATATATTATTTATTTCCTACAATTAATTGTTACTCTAAGAATGTGGAAGTCGATCTAATGCCAGCAGTAAAGTTTCATACGATTTTTGTTCATTTATTTGACGTTTGTCTGAGTAAAGTTATAAATTGTTAGCATATTAAAACGTTCTATCGACCGAAACACTCGAAATCTAACTGAAACAGGTATAACGGAATCGATTAAGTAACAATGATTAAGTATATCGGTGAGAGTGAATTACATACTTTCATACAAACAACACATCACAACAACACGAATACATATGTATGAAAAATGTATAGAGTTTATACTTTTAACATGTCCCCACTAAAGAGAATATGAACTCTTAGCAAAGAGATTGATACAACATTTGCGTGATACTATTTTGTACATCTAATTTATTTGTTGAAAGTTTTATAATACGAGTATATAGACTCACATTATCTACTATGTTAGAAAAGCTAACTGTATCACAGAAATACAAACCAATCTCTTTCAGTTCTGTAAACAAAGATGATACCGACAAACTTTTTAACCATTATCGTTACCATCTAAGAATGAGATCGATGTATTAAAAGAATTCGAAAGTAAGAACTAAACAAATAGGATTGACTAACATATATCACCTGTAACTCAAAAAAATGCTAGTTATAAATACCTGGAAATGAGTACAGGCAACTCTGAATAATTGGAATAAGTAATTATTATGCATAGAAAAAAACTACTAGCTATGATTAGCATCATAAACAAATACTGCTGAACAATAGATCTATTCAGAACATATTTCGATCGTTTGTGTAAGGTAGAACCAGTATGTTCTCAAATAGGAAGTCAATAATCAATCTATTTATAACAAATTATTGTAGCGGTTATCGAAAATCAAACAAATATAATAATAGTCTCGGATTAGAATAGAATAAGAATGGTATGAATAGAAATATCTATGGACCTTTTATTAACTCTAAATTTAACTTCTGAATACTAACGATAATTCTATTTGTGCTATCGAATTTCACTAACGTCTTTTCGTATCTTTAAGACCAAATAATATTGAGAAAAACATAAAACTTGATCTATTTATTTATTTATTTTAACACATAGATATTGGTACAAAGAGGCACTAAATACATATGCGCCACACAAATCTCATTTGATTTGTGTGAGGGCTGTGATACTGCCCGGGTGCCCAAACCGATCATAAACATCAAAACAATTTAAATGTTTTCATTTGAAAGAAAACAGTTATAAAACACTAATTATTAATTGCATCAACCAAGAAAGTGCATGTACAAATATATTGTGTGATATTAGTGGTCGCCTGGAAACATGAAGGATAATCTTTTAATACATAAAAAATCGGTCAGAAGTTGATTATTTCCCAAAAAGGCGTAACTTAAATGAATAAATTGATAAACAAATGAATGGATGTCACATGCTCGACATTTTAATTTTTTATGTGACATAAGATTATGAAAACTCCCTGTTTACATTTCATGTATACTCCAAGATTGATGATACAAGTATTAAGTTACACATCCACAGGGTTTTATATACTTCTAACGAAACATCAACCATTGTCTGCATTGTATCAAGAGATTTCACCAGTTCCTCATCTAAGATCTATAAGTTCATATATTTCCTACATCTAATGAAACCGGTATACTATACAAACGTTTGTCAAAGCAATCACAGTTTGAAGTAATGGACGGTTAAATTCGTTTAGAAAAAAATGGATCTAGAATTCTTATCGAACATGTCAGTGTAAAATCAATATTTTTTGTATTTATATTCTGTAATATGACAAGCTTTATGTTGGGATAGATGGCAAAACCATTGTTTTTAAGAAAAGAGAGCTTTTTTAATACCTTCGTCGATTAGACTCAATGATGGTTGGCGATTCTAGTATTATATCCCGCGACCGAACTGTTATTCCAGGATTACTGCGACAAATGATTCTCAAGCAATTTCACAGTGGTCATCCAGTGGTCAATAAAACGAAATCATTGGCTCGAAGATATGCTTATTGGCCACCAGTGAACAGAGATATCGAAGACAATTGCCACAAATGTCCGTCTGCCCTACAAGCTGTTAAAAACCCTTCGAAATGTGAACCACAGCAGTTGACTAAGCCTGCCAGACCCTGAATGAAATTATATATATATATTTTGCTGATCCAGTCCGATGGAAAATATTTCCAGTTATCTTGGATGTATTTGCAAGGAGGCCGGAAAAATATACCAGGTCAAACTGTACAGCCGAAGAAACGATCAACAAGTTGTCTACTTGGATTAGCTGTTTCAAAGTGCCAGAGACCTTAGTAACAAACAATGACACTCAATTTGCTTCTAACCTGTTCAAAAAATTCCGTGATATGAATGGGATAATTCACTTGTACTCGCCACTCTATCATTTTCAGTCTAACAGACAAGCAGAACGCTTGGTGGACACCTTCGAGAGAGTGCTGCTTAAAGGGAGGGAAGACGGAATGCGGAGTAAAGTAATCGCCAAGTTTTTAACATCTTACAGAATAACCCCCAACCCTGTAGTGCCAGATGGGAAGTCACAGGCTGAGATCATGTTTGAGAGAAGCACCTGGACGATTTTCAACGCCAGAAAGGTAGATGTCCACAGAATATGTAGCTATATATTCGCAGTTTGATGCAGGGAGAAGAGTATTTGTCAAATCATACCAAATCAGGAATTGATGGGAACCAGGGATAACTGTACAAACATTGGACAGAGTTTTGTATAAGGTCCGAGGAGCTTTCCGAACATGCATTATACATACGAACGAAATCCATAAAGTTAGAAGGACGATGCACACCAGAGACGGTTAAGTGAGTGTACCATTATAGATAATCACAGATACTTCAATGGCAGAAACGTCCAAGAATACCGTAAAGAACAAAAGAATGAAGGTTTGGGCAGGGAAGACAATAAAAAAATGTAACGTTGCCTAAAACCAGTTATCAAATTACGAGTGGATCCCGGAAGAAAATCTTATTCTAGAAATCTGTTGGGATGACTCCCAAAATTCACAACGAAGCCTTCAGAGGCACTGAAGGAGCCGAAGAGAACTCATCCAGTCAGAACATGATAGGACCTAAAGTATCGACGTGACATGCCATAGTTTCAAATACAATACAGCTTGTACATATGTCATCGATCTTGAGAACCAGAACAAAATAACATCAAAAGAAAAGACAATCAATCAAACAAACGTTTCTTCCAGGGAATATTAGTTCCTAACAAGAGGTCAACGTTTGAAAACCAGAATTGTTAGAGAAAAAAGATAAAAAATTTGGAGTGTTCCTAACCTAATATGACAAGTTAGTTGAAGTAAGGACTTTATACACATGAAATTACTGTTTTCCCTGCCGCATACCTTTATCACATCAAACAAACGGTTAAGGTTGCTAATTTCAATAAGTTTCGAAATTAACAACTTCATTAGGCAACAGAAATCTCAATCAATATTACTAGATACCAATGATAATTAGAAATTCATTAGTAATGAACTAGTTTTATGTCTATCACCAACTACTTTGAATATGTACTATATTACCTAAGATATTTCAATCTAAGTACTGTTCGTTGAGTAAATACAACCAAAAAATAAACCAATTCAATTGAGCAATATTTATGTTTCTAGTAGGCTTTGTTTATAAATAGGCATAAACTATTGATCTCGAAACAATAGCCAATTACTCAGTTGAAAGATGTTTCTTTGTACGAACTTCTTTAAAAATGCTAACACACGTAAATCTGAACGATAACTCAATTTACAGATGATGAAAACCTCTTTAACGTAATCTCGATGTGTGCTATGTAACGTATGATACTCAAAACTGTACCCAGATTAGTAGAACTTGAAAAAATATTAGATATAATGTAAAATATTGCGATGACCTTTTTATTCTCCTTTATCAAAAAAACAATAAACATTTATATGTAAAATGTATGAACGTGACTAAGTTCAGCAGTCAAACTATATTTGATTTTAAAATCATAATATAACTGCACATCATTTTAAATGGTTAGCACAGTATAATAAAATAGTTAATCCTAAGCCAACAAAAAATAAATATTAAATTTGACATAAACAAGTATGAATCAAACATGAAAGTCAGGTTTTTTTTCTATAAAAACGAATGATCAGCTAATAAATGATCTGTAAATCATCATTCTACAATCAATCATATTTTGAATGATTTACGATCATGTCAATTTTTTCGTGTTGTCTAGCTAGAAATAACTCGTTTTCAAGCTATATGTTGTGTATTCACTTGGTGTTCTTTACTTGTATCTTCCCATTGTTATTCAGGACTGCAATTGATCAGTCTCTTGTTGGCATATGTGCATCCTGCCTCGATATTGCCTTAGATCACAAGCTTTATTAGCAAAGATTTATGGTGGTTAGCAGTGGAATCCAGGGCGTGCGTTTTGTCCTATTTGTTTTGTGTTTAAATATGTGTTCGGTTGAAAGGATTAGATTGAACAATCAACTTTAGTAAGTAATTATTACTCAAACATAACTAACAGAAGACGGATGCTATAACCTATAAGGAGAGCATAGGCACCAAAAAATAACTCAAAGTTGTCAATCATCACTAAAAATAACCGTAAAGTATTATCATCTGTATAAATCGGTATTTGAGTCGTGATATATTCAGAAACAAATATATGTACCAAATGCTTAGTAGAAGAAAATAAATATGTACACACATTTTCAGAACAGATCATCTGATTGCATTATTCCAGAATAGTTCAGTCTAAACAAATTGTCGATTGAAATTTTGTTAAATTGAGTTAACAATAATACAACTAGATATCTCGTTGTCTTACTAATTATCAAATGTACATTAGCTGGCATTGACAACAGCTCTACAACTGTCAACAACTTTCGGTTTAAAATAAGCCTAAAATAAGACTATTTGTCTCTACGGGAAAAATTTTCGAGTATGAGTTAGAGCGAGTGCAATTTTTTAAAGTATAATTCAAGTCGGCTTAAAAGTTAATTAATTGACAACTAGCTTCATTTGTTTTATGAATTACAACAGTAAAAAGTCACTAAACTTTTCAAACCCATGTTAAATTCCCATAAAGAGGTAGTAAGATATTTAATATTACTCAATAATTAGCTGTTACATTATGATACTACGGGATCACTATACCTGTTGTGAGCTTGCAATACTGATCGAAATATGTATAAACACTCATAGTAATGACTAAGTGTATAGCGAAATCAATGTAATCATCGAAGCGTTTTACAAATTATATCAATGTATGTATAACCTTAATAAACTAAGTCACTTCAAAGATATCTGATGCAAATGTATGAAATTCCTTTGGATAACTATCAGATATCCACAATTGTTTGATTCGAAAAAAATAGTGGATAACAAGACAAAAACAGGAAATACTTGAAACAACCGGAATACAATTGACATGGAACACAACAATTTTAATTGAGAGTAAAACTTTTTTTTACCATTTCCTCCAATTATTTGTAAATCTGGGAATACAGATTTTACGCGCTTTATCATATCTAGTTGATAGATGCTATTACCTTGAGAAGAATCCTAAAAAATAAAAGTATAAAATATTGAATAACAAAAATGGCGTATATCGACTGATACAATTTTTGAATACCAGACGAAAAAAAGGATTGTGTATGAATGAAATCAAGATGCTCGTAGAATATACCTTAAATGATGATACAATCATCATTGAACAGATAATTACAGACTAATAATTTAGGAATAAACTTAAGTAAGCATAGGTCAAGTATTTGTTTATAGAAGCTCCATAGTTTAAACATATGTACTTTTAACTTGATTTTAAAATTTCACTATTGTAGAGAATATATTTGACTTTTTTTTAACAAAACCTAAAGTAGTTTTTATAACAATAATACAATGGTTCGAAATACAAAATTTCAAAATTATAAATGAAGAGGACTTCAAACGGTAAAGACATAACCATGATTGAAACTATATCGTATGATAAGAGATTGAAAGTAATGTTATGATAAGACCACTTTGATTACTAAAACATCATATAAAGACAAAATCTTATGATAATAAACTAACATATCTCGGTTATTCTAGTGAAAGTAAACATCATCATCATCATAATAATAATAATAATACAAAAATTTGTATTTTTCAAAAATAAACAGATTCTGAAAAATAATCTAGACGGAAAATCATCACATGATCCAAGTTGTTCAAGAACTGATAAACAAAAACAGTTGTTTTATAACAGGGAACAACAAAGGAGAACAGGTTGAAATAAATTTAGTCATATCTACATTCATGGTAATGAATGAACTCAGAAAATCTGTATTAAAGAAAAAAAAGAAGTAATGTTAAATGAAAATGAAAGAGAAATAGAAAACTAAAATGTCCATAGACAGTTTGTATTGACACACTACATTCATTTCAAATCGTAAAGAAACATAGAAAAAAAACAGACAAATTTTGAAAAACAAAAACAAGACATGCTATAAAAGTTAGATTACATACCAGTGATCGTTTTTAAGTTATTAGTGGTAAAAATCGAAAGTATAATCTCATAAGATGAACAACAAAAGTATATCTACGAAATTCAATACAGTATGTATGGAAGAAATATTTAAACAGCTGAATGTGAAACCTAAGGAATACACACATGTCCCCAAATTATAAGAAAACTCTAAGACACTTAAAAAGAGATCAGTTATAGTTATACATACGACGAAAATAGATGGGTAAATCAACCTTGATGGATTAAAATCCTTCAGAAAGGATTATCCGCGTGATTATCGTAAGCAATGGATAGAGACTCTGGGTTACATGGCTCAGAATCGATCGCAATGGCGTTGGTGTAAACACTCTTTGTCTCCCCTTTTTATCGTGAGATTAAGATTGCTTCATATCTTTCTTTCTACAAACTAATTCTTTCTTCCTGTACTATATCCTTATACACAATCTTTCTTCTATATATTACTATCATTGAACTAACTGCTTCTATGAATCCGGTGTTTATCTTATTATGCTAATGAGGTATTGCAACTTGGACTGATGCATAGATGTGCCTGGTCCTACGTTGTAGCTGACTGACTGAACAAAGCCCAACATATATTGGAGAATCTAAAACAATCTGAATAAACGAGATAGGCTGTAGTGTTGTTGGTTAATAAAATAATATAAAGCAATTAGTCCCTTTGATAAATTTCGGTGGTGTAATAAGAAGACGAAGATTATCAGAGCCATGTGATATAGCAGCGCAATACACTTCGAACAATCTGATCATACATATACTTGTTAAGAAAATTTATACGAAAAATTCAAACCCCCTCTGTATATTAAAAAATAGTTTGTTCTCACCTTAAATCTACATTGTTAATATTAGCTTATTATCCAGAGTGATGAGATTTCGAATTGTTTTCACATTACTTCTTTATTATGCTTGTCTCCTCTTACCCTCCATTTCTAGTCTACTTGACCTTTTATTTTTATATATAAATGTTCTTAACAAGTACATGTGTGATCAGATTGTTCGAAATGTATTGCGCTAATATATCACATACTTTTCATGATCGTCTTCTTATTACACTATCGAAAAATAATATATTTTATTTCTGGTTCATTTTGTAACATCAGTAACATGGACATCCACAACAACATACATCCAATTGTATGATTAACTGCTTTCGCATTGATTGCCGCACATAATTTGATAATCGCCAACGTACTTTTAGTTCTACGATAGAAAAAGCCATGAATATGACCCTAATCACTTTATTTGTCCACAGGGTTTTAATAACAATACCCTGCACATATTCGTCAAATAGTGCATTTTGATCATAGTTCATGCTACATGACCCACATTCATACTGCATATAAAATCAATATTTGAACACAATTGGACTAGAGTTAAGTATATGATTCCTTTTAACCTAATTTAAATTTGATCATTTTGATGTACCTGAAGCTCGGACCAGATTTCAGAGTGAAATATTGGAACTAATTAGATTTGAATTGCTGAAATTATAACCTAAAATACAATTCTACATGTCTTTTTTAAGTCCTAAACATAGAATTCTACCAATAACATCAGTCCTTACTTTATAACCATACAGTTTAGTTACAGTAATAAAATTATGTTTCTACTTGTAATGACTATCAAATGTCGAATAAACAGTAGCTGGATACATATAACATGTATTCGAGTTATTTTAACTAATTAGCGTTCACAATTTCACTAAATGATTTATCTGCTCTATGGAAAGTCTGGCGTACCTAATTGAACAGGTAAATGCGTAAGTAATATAAGCCAATACAGTCTTTTTAATTAAAGATGGATGGTGGCTAGCAGCGGAAAACAGGACGCACGTTTCGTTCTATTTCGGACGCGTCAGCTGGATGTAACTGCATCACGGAGTTGATGTTCATTTCGGAACTCGCACCCAGATCTGTTTGCCTTAAACGCCATCGGCCTAACTACTTAGCTACTGAGTCCTGATAAACACAAGCATGTGCAATGGGGTGAGATTTTAATTCATTTTTGGATTGTTTGTTCGAATTTTCCCATTAATGTTTAGGACTGTAATCGATCAATCCACTGCTAGCCACCATCTATCTCTGTTTATAACGCTTGTGACTTAAGGCGATATCGAGACAATCAGCACATGATGCATATATGCCAATACGAAACAGATCAATTGCAGTCTTAAGCGTCAGTGGAAAGAATCAAACAAATAATACAAAAATGAGCAAGTCTTTTTACTTTGGATTAGCAAAATACAGATCACACATGGTAAAGATACGTAGGAGGGTATGAGAAGGATTATAAGCAAGCATTATATAAATGCTTATTTTCACACTAAAAATATCCTAAAGTCAAGAATATAAATGATTCGACAATTTAAACTAGTGCCCTTTTTTTAATACATAGATGTGCATGTATATTTAAATTGAAGTAACCAATTACATCTGATAAGTACACAAATACATTTTGCAGTTTTGACGCCTGTTTATAATCAGAAAGATTGAAATTCATGTGTATTACATACTAACCAGTAGGTGTTATAAAGACTTGAGTAGAATATTTACTTAATCGGAAACATAACAGAACAAACCTTTATAAAAATAAAAGTCCATTAAATCTGACTTATTAGGCTTCTTTGTAAGTCGGGCATATTTCTAGCCTTTTTGTTTTTGGTAGTTACGAGTTACGTATCCGCTACCTATGTTGTTTATCGAAATTCTGAGTACTCTTATCTGAATAAATCCCACTTATGAATGAATTAACGTTAAACATGCTCCACTAACCATTCCACAATAGCTTTTTGTTCGTTTATGGAGAAATGGGCTAATAAATTCGTTTAATATTTTTTTTACAGTATTGTTCCATGTTTAAATTCTAAGACAAGATGATACCCAACGAGTGAAATACCGATCATCACAGTGATCTCTGAATAAGCGACGATGAAAGGACCTATACAAAATGAATAAAATATTATCAAGTCTAAATCAGTATACTTGCTTCGTATATATTTCAGATGAATCACAGATAATCAGTCAACTATTATCTATAAACCAGAATATTGAAGCATTATAAACAATGAAGATACCTATTGGTAAAGTAAAATTATTTTACTAAAATCGAAATATCCTATCGACTTATATTCTAGAAATGGCGTCTCAGCAGTTAGGCATTCAGTCAATAAATCGCAGGTTCAAACCTCGCTTCATATAATTCGGTCTAATCATCGGGTAATATCACTAGCCCTTACACTTAGAGTGTGTTTAATAGCCAAATACTTGGAGAACGAGCTACATTTAGTTTAATTTTAACAACAAGTGTTCATCAAAACTTAAAGCAGTAACTGTTTAAATGCATAGGAATAAATTGTATTTACTATGCTTTCGAAAGTAAATTAAATACAAACTCATGAAAAATCAATTTAACAAGATAATATACAGTCAGTGTATGATAATTTCTTTAATACGTTTCGATTACTATTAATTTCAAGTGATAAGAATTTTGTATTTCCCAGTTAGAAAACAGTAAATATTCTATAAGTAGCTTAAGAAAACGAAAACAACCATTCATGTTCGGCCACCAAATAAACTAATCGATCAGTGACTTAGAAGAAGAGTTTGATACAGTTTACCATGGAGACCAAACAAAAATGTACTTTGTACATAAAATTATGCAACATAATGAAATTCACAAGAGTACAATTCTTTCTTCCTTTGATACTCGAATAAGGATATAGATTATACACAAATACATACGTACGTGGTGGGATGAGGATTATATCCCGAGAAGTTTAAATAGTCACGTTATAATGCATACAAATGATAGATTGAATGATAATGAATTATTTTTTTTACTGTTGTTATCAGTTAACAATATCCACACATTTATAAACCCTACAATTTCTTAGTGTCTTAAGACAAAAGCAGCAAAACCCAATTCATAAAAACACATCACACTGACCTATTGTTTATATTTATTATTTATTTATTTAAACACATAAATATTGGTACATGGGGGCACCCAATAAATATGAGCCACAAAAATCATCCGATTTGTGTGACGACTGTGATACTGCCCGGGTACCCAAACCGAATCAGGTGGTTTTCTTAGGGAGCCACACCCCGAGCCTTTGACCTAAAGGTCTAATCTACAAGGCAGTGGAGCAACATCAGGAGATGCAGTCCCATAGAACCGATGATCAACGACTAGTTCATACGCCAATTGTTCCTGCATGATACTGGAACCCATGTGCACCATTGGTTTGGAATCAGGTTTTTCCAACTCCCCTAAGTGAACCCTCCATGTCCACTAACCCGGTTAAAGCATCGGACATTCACTTTTCGCCCCCTCACTTTTTCTTAAAAAACACTGGTGCCGCGAGAAGGCAGTGAGTAGGACTTGCCTGGCAGTGGTTGTATGCACGTGGCCAAGTGAGAGCATTTCGAGAAGGAGAGCTGACTCTCCCCACTCTCAGCCGTACCGAAGCATTTGAGGGCTATTTTTTAGAAGTATATATTAGTATAATAGAATAAATATTTTCTGTTTGAATATTATTAACAAGATAACCTATGTACTAATGACAGTTTTGACAAATAAAGCAAAATTATTATTTGTTAAATCTATTGAAGTTTTTTAAACTGTACCCAAATTGTTGCATTGATGCAATGAGAATATTTATTAAGGAATTATAAGCACAGAAGACAAGCTTTTCTGGACGAATGCGGACAAAAACCAAGTGAAGGACTTGATTCATTTCATTAATCCCGAACATTACTGTATAATAGTATCGTAAAGTATCAGATGATAACGCTGCTGAAACTAGTATGAAGTGACTTTGTATCTCTAGTACACGTAAAGTAGTGATTAAGTATGTGTGTGTATGTTTGACCATTTGACTTCAAACACTGAGTTCCAGGTTCGAACTTCACTCAGTTATTTTTATTTATCAAATTCATTTAAATATAAGTTTACGGAGAATTAAAAAGGCTAAAATTGTTGTAGAATGATAAAAAAAGTATGCCAAAATAATCAAAAATACAGAATACTCACTATAACAATAATATCGACTCCAGCGTTAACCAAAGCATCGACACGATCAAAATCACGCTCTTGTGTTGAAATAGCTGCACCAACAATTAACTGATTTCTGAGAAAAAAACAAAGAAATTTTATGAGTAAACAAATCTATTATTTACTATGCATAACTATTAGTAAGTTTTAATAAACCTGAAATATAATCAGACCATGAAACATATCTGTGATGGAAGTTCAGATATTTCTTTCATTTGTTAAGTATCTGGTTTATGATATGGATTATATATCTTATATTTTATAATAAATAACGCTTGTACGTTTAAATGTTTACATTTACTCAATGGGCCTCATAATAAAGTATTCATATTATTCCATCATTTTTATATTACTTAAACATAATAGTTAAAAAAAAACAAGCTATAGTTTGGTTTAAAATTGACATTTGCAAACAGATACCAAAAGTGGCCAAAATAATAGTGTTTGAAGTTTACAGGGTCTACATAATAAGTACTATACGACTAGTATTTTAACATTTTCCTGCCACTCTCTTGGCTTGAATGCCCATTTATATATCCAGTATAATATTTTAGGATGAAATAGTGGTTTGATGGATTAAGTGTCTACAGTTTAATAAATATATCCTTGACATTAACATTAGCATTAACAATCAGATCATATTTGTAAGAATTTTAATGACTAAAACGAACTAGTTGCAGAGTTGTAGCTCGGAAGTCCGTTTCAGGCTACATGGGATTAACCAAATTAAGAAAAACCGGAAGCGAATAAGGCAACCAAAAACCTTTTTTACAACCATGTTTAACTTTTGAATTTAGTATATGATGTGAATATAAATCAGTTTACATGAAACACATTCAAACCACAAAATGAAATTTAAATACAAGCGACAAAGCTTCTGTTTCTATCTGATTTAATCTCACTATCGGTAGATTATAGATAAAAGTAACAAGGGCTTAGTTGAATCATATCTTCAACATACATGCCAACAGAATCGCCAAAAGGACTTAAGTGAATCAACTGAGAAGAGAATCACAAAAGTACTCAGGGATCTCCTGAAGGTGATCGATAATTTCACTTACAATAAGCTACGACGTTGTGGGTCTCATTTGCCCAACATGTACGGTTTATCAAAAATACATAAACAAGGTATTCCTCTTGGACCTATTCTGTCAAAGGTCAATTCACCCTACCACAAAGTTGCACGATGGTTGGCGGATAAATTAGAACCAGTTAGTCAACGATTAGTCATGTATACATTAAAGGATTCATTTGAATTTGCTGACTGCATGAACCACATAAATATTGCCGGTAAGGTTATGGTTTCCTCTGATGTGATATCGTTGTTCACAAAAATACCACTTCTTGAAACCACAGATATAGTTTGCCAACATTCTGACATCCCACCTCTACCAGCATCAGAATTCAAACGACTGTTAATCATGTGTACAAAGGATGCTTTGCAAAAGATTATTTGCAATTAAGGGTGGGTGAACACATACCAAAATGATTGCAGAAACAAATGAATTCCAATGGTCAAATAAGATCACAGGATAGACAGACATCATCCTCCATTGCGAAACATTTGGTTGAGACTGGTCATACGGTTGACATCAAGTCAGCATTTGTAGTGTTATACAAAAACCTTCAAGGACGTATACTAAGGTTTATTGAAGCCTTGGCTATACGTAGATTGAAACCCCCTTTATGTGTTCAAAAACGATTTGTCCTTTCACTTAACCTATCCTGGTAATACTGAATTATTATCCAGAGTGGTAATCACATCGTTTTTGTGTACTTTAATATTTTTTTTCTTTATTACGGCTTACCTTAATTTTCACATAAAAATGTCTTAACAAGTATATGTGTGATCAGATTGTTCGAAATGTATTGCGAAAATATATCACATAATTCTGATAAACTTCGTCATTGCATTGTCGAAATTGTTTTATAAGATGTTCAGTTCCAGTTCAACAATATCATATACCGACAAACCGATGGGAAGTCAGTTAGATCCTGTCCTACAAGATATTTTCATGGTTAATCTCGAAAGTATCAAGCTCAAAGGAGTGATTGATGTGTCATTCGAGGCATGTTGATGATACCTTCACCGTATGTAATAATCAACAACATGCAACAAATCTGCTAAAACTTTCCAACGAAGCCCATTCAAATATCCAGTTTACTATGGAACATGAAAATGAAAACAAGTTCTATTTTCTCGATATCGCAATAAAACGAAAGAAGGATAGTACAGTTCAACGTTCAGTTTAGAAGAAAGACATATGGAATGAGATTTATCTCGATTTCAATAGCTTATGTCCAATCAGTTACAAAACGGCACTTGTTAAAACAGTTTCACAGAACAGAAAAAAATATGTACTGCTGATACATTAGAAGAGAAAGTAATGAATGTTAAAAAATGTTATTAAAAAAATAACGGATACCTACTGCAATTTATTGAGAAATGTGGAAAACGTCAGAGTAAAAAAACCGTAGAGACTATAGTAAATAGAAAGTCTATCTTTATCTAACTTAAATTCAAAGGTGATGATGTCATAGGGTCAATCAATATGAGACTAAAAACTACATTGATAACAACTTATCCTGCAGCTAAACTAATTATTCTGTCCAAAACAACATGCACTTTAGCACAATTAAAGATCGACAGGTATACAACCAAATGTGAATACAAATTTACATGTATCTGCCAAAGCAGTTATATCAGCAGAACAGAAAGATGAGCCTACGTCCGATTGAAAGAACATACTCTGAATAGTCTAAGGTCAAATGAATTAAAAGCACTCAGCAGTGCCATCACAAGACACCTTGGTACAGAACATCAAGCCGATACACTGAAGTCTTTTAAGGTGATTAATAAACAATCAAACCCCGATCTTCTGAAATTTGCCGAAGCGACAGCGATCAAACGTCTAAAACTAGATCTATGTATCCAAAAAGAAGCGGTAATGAATCTTTCTTTGCCGTGGTAAGATTACATCCTGTTTTTATTTATTGCGTCATTCATTATTTCAACTTTATGAAGTTTGATTACATCATTGTCATTTTTCTTCATAACTTTCTTTATTACCATTAATCTGTTTTCAGTTGCTTTATTACACTAAGCAATAGAAACTTGTTGAAAACTTAAGGATTACAAGATGAAACCTATTAAATTACACTTGGAATTGGAATGCAATGGTTTATTTTATACTAAACAACTCGTTGTGACGTTCATAACATTCAAAAGACGCTCAATAACATTTACCAACGATTAATTTTTAATATTTCCTTTTGATCTCAAAGTATAAATATGTGGACAAAGGTTGGGTAAAAAACTCACTCGGAATCTTTAGATGCTAGTGGATGATCTTGATTCTTTTTTAAGTCAGTTCGTGCAATTAATGCCACCAATTCACGATTTTCGTTAATAATTGGTAATTTACCTGTGTGTGATTTAAAAGAAATGAATTCGGAGTTATTTATCAGATTCTTCGTCAACTTTATAATAAGTACCAATGATTTAGTACATGATATGAAAATTGAGTTATTTTGTTCCTAAAACAATGTAGATTAGGATTTTTGACTGATTTTGTTGTTTTAAATGCTATTTGTGATTGATACACCCATTTAAAGAGGATAGATATCGAGAATATTTTTATTTTCTGGAGAACAAACTACATATTAATATTGTGTTGAAAACAGAACAAAATATAAATTGACAAACTACATAAACTTATTTATTTAAACCTTTCTTTAAATTCATTGACCACTTATTTTTTCTAAATAAATAAAAAGTCCCGTGCTCTAAAATGTCTACAAATTAAATTACAGACTGTTGTTTCCAGGTTTTTTGAACTTTAATGAAAAAATGACGTCTTCAACTGTTTTCCACATGCTTTCTAACCTATTCTTTACAATGTCCTAATATAACTAATAGTAATCCCATTATAAATGTGTTTATTTATTTATTTATTTGAACACATAAATATTGGTACAATAGAGCGCCAATATATATGCGCCACACAAAACAATGGGAATTCGAAGAGAAGTAGAAAGAAGAAAAAAAAACTAGGGAACGCAAAAGAAAAAGAGAACAATGACGAAGAGATTGGAGTAAGGTAGTGTGGTAGTAACGACGGAACGAAAAGGTACAATCAGAAGAAATTTTTCAGGTAAAGGAGACACAACCACTTTTTATGAAGAAAGTAAAAGAAGGTTACAGCAGGATCGCCACTGGCTTCTATTCTGAGCCATATCTGATAACGTCTCTAGCCACTGTGTAGCACCATCTCTCGGACCCCAGCCGGGGAGTCGTGAAGGACCAACACAAGCCAGTCTTTTGCAGTCTTCTTTCATGCCACGACACCATGTCATGCACTGACCACCTCTCCGCTTCTTCCAACCAGTCCCAGAGTCGGCAAATAATGCACGACGTGGAATTCTCCGGAACGACATTCGGAGAACATGTCCAAGCCACCGAAGTCGATGTTTCAAGATGGTGACACCAATTGCATTATCGTCTCTGTGCTCGAACACACGATGCCGAACCTCTGCATTACTGACATGGTGTTGCCACTGAATGTCAGCAATCCTTCGGAGACAGCGATGATCGAACACAGAGAGTCGTCTAACGTCCTCAACTCGGAGAGGCCAGGTTTCACAAGCTTACAGCAAAACTGCTCTCACCGACGCCTTGTAGATCCGACCTTTCACAGCCAGACTAACATCACGAAGGCGCCAAAGATGGCCCAGATTGGCATAAGCCGCTCTGGCTTTCACTATACGTGCATTGATCTCATCACTCACGCCACCACCAGCACTTATGCAGCTACCCAGATACACGAATTTCTCGACTACTTCTATCTGCTCACCATCTAGGGTGAGTACAGGATTAGAATCCTGCCAGTCTTGTAGAAGTACTTTGCACTTCGAAGGTGCAAGGTACATACCATACCTACGGACACTGATTGCCAACTGATTAAGTGCGGATTGCATGGCTTGGGCATTATCGCACAGTAAGACAATATCATCCGCATACTCAAGGTCGAGAAGTCTTTCTCCAGGCAACAGATCCACACCACCATTACTTACATTCATCAGAGCTGTTTCCAGAATGTCATCGATGGCAAAGTTGAAGAGGAATGGTGAGATTGGGCAACCCTGCCTAACCCCACTGCTCGAATGGAACAATGGAGAGAGGTGGTTGTATGCCCTCACTCTGCCTGAGGTGTTTTTATACAGGGCTTTTAGGATGTTAATAAACTTCTCAGGCACACCCTTCTTCAATAGACAATCCCAGAGAACAGTCCTGTCCAACGAATCGAAGGCAGCCCTGATGTCAAGAAACACTACGATTGTTGGCCTTTGAAAAGTATGGCGGTGTTCTAACATTTGGCGGAGGGTGAAGATATGATCAATACATCCTCGACCAGGCTTTATGCCTATAAATGTGTAAACGGCAGACACAAAGATCAGAGAAGTAACTCTACTGATAAACGGAGTTCATAAACATAAATTAATAATAAGATTAATCTTGAACACTGAGAATATCAAAGCGACTTTCACTTATAGTTTGTATTCTTCAAATAACCAGTAGAGATTCAGACATAGTATAACTGCAAAATATGTAGGATCTATTGGGTTTATACGAATATAAAAAGTCCTATATAATTGACACTGTGATTAAGAAATATACTGTTCAGAAATATCAATCAATGGATAAAGTAGGGTGAGATCATTTATACCAACCAATATCTATAACTAGCCAGATGTCAGCAACTCAAATATGGGACATTTTTCACCAAATGATGATATAATGAAACATCCTCTTATCAAAATGCATTCAGTTGAAGTACTCAAAAATGAAAACAAGGGCCGTTAAAGCAACTAACTGACGGGTCTTTCAGGATACATATTATTTAGAGTGCACTTATCCAACCTACTAATCGATTAACAATGTCCTTCCAGAATTAATCCTATGTAATTATTACATAAACAGTGGATAGCATTGGTCACTAAACAATAATTTCACCTCGAAACATCGAATAAACTCTAATGAGGAAAGCTAATAAATTATCCAAAGGTTACTAATAGAATATTTGAAAATCATTTATTTCACCGATACCTTTTTTGCTCTTTCGCAGAAGATCATTTGCTTCAGACAGTGTCACACCGGAGAACGCTGTAACAAGATCATCAAATGGTGTCATTACCTGAAAAAGAGAATAACTAGTTTGAAGGAAGAACGCGTGGATTTATAAGCTGAAACAGTTGAAATCTCTCTCTCTGTACATAAGGTGTCCGGATAAATATTCGAGGAAACAGATATTTGGCACAGTAAACATGTAGTTTTAAAAAATGGCATAGCGAGTTGCGTTTTAAATGTACAAAAGCTCAGAGAAAAATGATGTGTTCGTGATACATTGATAGTTTTTTCTTTCTGAAGGCGTAGCCAAATAACGACTACTCCAGGAAATCTGAGGTCTGAGTACACCTGGTGGATAACTATTGTGCGGGAAAACATCGTGTCTGCCATTAGTTAAACAGTTTACTTTTCTACGCCTAATATCGAAAACAAACAGGTTCACATCCTCAAATGACAACTGGTTCTTCGCAAAGTGAGAGAGAGTTCAATTAGCATATGTACACCAATTTATCATAAATGTCCACAGCTAACAACGAAGACTTGTCTAATCACCAATGTTACTTATGATTCTGGCGGATATATTCTCAACTAACATTGAACGACAGTATAGTTTGCAAAACCAAATATTTATATGTTAGTCCAGTATCTAGTTACATTTAACAAATGTCTCCTAGCGATGACTCCTGTATTACAAGTCATTGATCTAAAGGACAGATCGCAGTTTAAAAAATAATCAATGTAAAATTAGACGAACTTTTTCAACAGGTGTGTTGAAGTCATTCGGGTCCAAGAAATCCACATCACGAAGAGTGACTAAACCGACCAAGCGACTCCCCATATTACCATCCTCAGTCACAGGGATCCCACCGAACCCGTATTTTCTCTTTATTTCAATGATATCATAAACGGGTTGCCTTGGTGAAACAACGACTGGAGACAAGATGAAACCTTGGTTATATTTCTGAAATAACAGGAAAATGAAAAAAATGATTATATATTTACACGAAACTCTCGACACAAAGAATACACGTACAAACCTCCAGAACGTAACACCTAGAGTAACTGTGGAGTGAAAATGCTTATTGCGTGGTACCAAGTTCAACAGAAATTGAAATGACGTTTACAAAAGTATACGACACTAATTTTTACTAAACGACATTGTAAATTTAATGGGTAGTGTAAAGAGTTCAGTTGGACTAAAACATCAGTGCTAGAAATTATGACATGCTATGATGTGAACCTAAAAAAATTAGAAACCTCTATTCTCACCGTATTTATGCATCAAGAACTTATGACGTTATTATGAATTCGACTACATGTTTATGAACAGAAATGCCAGAACCCAAAGTTTACCGTATTTTCTATAATTTAAAATTTTGACGGGGATTTCAGCGTAGAACCTACTTGAAAGTAGACATTCACCGAGAGAATATGGCGAAAAGATGTTTACGTTAAGGTTGAAACCTAAGATGTACTACATAAAGTGTCAACAACATTCATTGCATATTTACCAGCTCAGTTCATCTTCTGAAAGAACTATATTACACGTTAACTAGAGCACAAACAAACGAGTTAGTGACCATTTTCCTTCGTGGTTTGGTGAGGGTCATTATTGCTACTAATGATTTACACACATAGCACAACAATATTTGCACGCCTTATAAATACACTGTAAACCACAAACACACATAAATAAAATTAATCTCTGTGTTCAAAAATTATACACTAATTTTTTGCTGTTATATGATTGAACTCAAGCTGACATACTCCTATTCTTATCCGTATCTAGTTAAGTAATTAAATGAGACTGATATTTGTATTTTATTATGAAGTCACTAATCTCACACAACCCTAATTTTATGTGTACTGCTAAATGACTCGCCATCAACTACCTGGTATTGGTTTCATGTTTCAATGTGGAACCCGTAAACTACCGTCTAATTAAGATGGCGATCTAACTGAGAAGTAATATTTTTATTTTCAGCATGTATGTTTCTGTTTGAATGAGAAAATTCGATAAAGATAAACCAGTCTATCAGCCAGTTTAAAATTTTAATATTAACATGAAGTGGTCAATAGTTAGCATCTACAAAAGGTCAATGTGGAACACTTTGAAGGATTTTTAAAGAACCTTTCTACACATTGATGTGATATGCAAAATAGCATGCTGAATAAGTTAACTTATGAATAAATAACATACCACCATCTTTAGTAAAAAAAAGAACGCAGAATATGATACAGTATATAATGATATAGCACGAAATAAAAGTGATAAAAATAGATGACTTGTTTTGTGCAACACAAGAGACAAAATGATTGAACTGTGTATTGACGCGATAACAACTAATGAAGCTAGTCTATATAATTTTATATTCAATCCTAAAGGCCGAGGGAATGTGAAAATTGGCATGAGCCGGCGGTACTATCATAGGGCAATATAAACGTACTCATTCAAGTCCATTATGTAAAATGACACGGAAAATAATATTCTAAACAAGAAAACAGTTACGTGTAATAAAAACGTACACCAAAGCTTGAGTATACAATCAGTTACTACAAAAACAATAAGGACCTGTTTTATTGAACCCAACATGAGACATGCCTGACTTAAACTTAAAGGCGAAGAATCAATTAAACGTGCGGATATTGCTTCGTTACATTATTTTGGCGTTAAAGAGCAGCTTAGATTATCATTGTCAAATAAGCCTAACTGTATGAATAAACTGAACATTTAATACCACAAACTTGATAGGAGATAAAACAACAAGGTCAGTTAAACTCAATAATCAAGTACACAAATTTTTCCGCCGTGAAACTTTTAAAAGGTAGCTAAGTAGTAATGTTTTTCGAGCTTAATAGTCAAGATTGAAGTGATAGAAAAGAAATACTAGGTGGCAAAATAAAAGCTACGCTTAAACTTCAGTCTTCAGTAATAAGGATAGATCTATGGACCTATATTAATCCTTGCAGTTTGCAATACAGTGGATTTCTAATCACGTTTTGAATATATTAACAGAACGTGCTGATATTACGTGTTCCAGCAGAGAATTCCAGTAATTCACTACTCGGTGCGAGAAACGGAACTCCAGACGTAAACGATTTGATCTTCAATAATACCTGTTAGTCTCTTTTTAGTTTAGTTTGTAAACAGAAAACAAGGTTCGGGCGAAATGCTGCACAAAGAGAATGGGAAACGTAAACATGCTAAGTGAAGTTTGGCATAGTAGTCTAAGTTAAACACTGGTGTCACAAACAAAGTACACTTACCTTGACCTTCTTTACTTCACTAGCTTGAGCCTCAATGGAACAGTTGTTGTGAACAAAACCTATTGAGCCACAAAGCTAATGTTTCCAATAACGTACAGTAGAATTTCGATTGCTTACACTCATTGCTATGGCCATTTTCGCTTCAGTAACTGTATCCATAGGAGATGATGCAAAAGGAACCCTCAGAGAAAATCGTTTGCATATCTTGCTGGTAATGTCGACTTCATGTTTTCCAAACCCAACAAATCCTGGTAGAATGATTACGTCGCTTTGTAACGTAAGAAGCTAGTGAAGAAAAAACGTACCTAAACGTCAGTCCAAGCTCTCGTTTGAACAAGTCTGATGCAGAAACCCCGTCCAAATCGCATAAATCACTGTGAGTTGACATGCTGACTATTTAAGAAGCACAAATACACAAACAGTTGAGAAGTAACAAATAAAAAACCTCGCTACCTGACAATGCGCTATTTTAAACTTGCTCGGCCTAATATGACCTTTGAAGTGATTCGAAAAAACAGATACTTGACCTACAATCTTCAGTACCTAGAATACGTTTACAGACATACGTTAATCCTTCCAATTTGTAACTGGTGACGTCCAATCTTGTCTTGAATGTATCAACGGAATAGAAGAAGCTTTCGCTTAACAGGCTTCCGTGTCTAGTAGCGGGGAATCACCAAATCCTCCAGGTAGGAACCTAGTTATGTTAACAACAAAAGAGGAAAAAATTTAGTAAATCATAGTGTGATACTATCCTTAATCCTTAAGAATAGATAAAGTTGCCTCTTAAAGGACTTCTGGGAAGTCACTTGGACTAGCTCGGCCGGCAGCGAATTCCAGCACTTGACAACTCTTAAGGAGTAGAAGTTGTGTCTACAGTCCGTTCTGCTATGTTGTGTCTCCATTTTTTGGGTGTTACCCGTTAGGTTAGTGTTGGAACTAAGCTTAAGTAGGTATTTGAGAGGATGTCCAGAAGCGTTAAGGATACTGTAAGCCATCAGAAGGTCACCTCTAAGACGTCTACACTCTAATGGGTTGTAGGGCCAGTGAAATGTCACTGAGCCCTAGCCAAATCATCCGGCCGCACTAACCCAGGTTCGTATCCTGGCAGCGACACCATAGCATCATTACTCTTGCGACAGACTTAACGTTTGTCATCGGAGGGACTGAATTGCTTGACAAAGCTATATATTTCAGCGCGACTTTATAGAACAATTAAACGCTTTGTTCTTTTCATTATTTCTATGGTTAATCGCTTTACGTTTAACCAACGTCCTACTAACATATTATGACTCGCTGTTTCCCGACCAGTTTCTGCCGCCTCCTTTCCATTTCTTTTACAGATAAGCAATACCTGGAGGATTTATAATATTCGTTCGGCACTCTCCGGCGCGCCACTGCTCCCAACATGTTTGGTACCGATTCAAACGGCCGTTGAATCTGGTGGGGGAGTATTGTAGGGCCAGTGAAATGTCACTGAGCCCTAGCCAAATCATCCGGCAGTTGGATCACTGAATGTCGAACAGATCATCGCTCCCTGCCAAGGTCATTTACAAGCAACGCGCATTAGTTAATCATACGCCATGGACTGGCCCATGCGGCAGTGGTCTTACTTTCGCTTGTATCTACCTTAACTAATATATTTCTGTGATGACGTCCTCTGTGTTGTACAGTCTTCAAAGCATCTATGGTACCGTGATACGTCAACGGGGTAGTCCACGTAAGGTGCTGACCACGAGGTGTGACTTCGACATTAGCTAGTTTGTCACACCATTCATGTCTAACTCGAGTAGGCCACCAATCATTTCGACACAGATCATCTACGTTGGTGATCTACAGGGTAAAGGTTAAGTGAATGGAAGCGCTATTCATAAGGTTAAATTTGAGTCCTCGAAGTGATTTCGTGGCTCGCCATTGGATACGCTACAGAGTGTCCTTATCCTTTTGGAGTGAGAGGGGAAATACTATGTTTCCGTACTCTAAATGGGGACGGATAAAACTATTGAAGATTATATGGAAAGTTCTTCCGTCAAACTGGTCAAAAACGCCCTTCAATGTTACCAGTGCAAGGTTTGCTCTGGAGGCATTTTTGTCACAGTTAGCGTAAGACTTTAAATCGTAGGGCACCAGGACTCCTAAATATTTTTGGACTTGGGATACTACTAGAGAGGAGTTACCTAAGTTATAAATGTAGTCTGCGACATGTCGCAGATGGACTACTTTACACTTTGAAGTGTTAAAGGTAAGTCCGTTATCGTCTGCCCAACTTTGGAGTCGAGTCAGATCCTCCTGAGGTGCCTGTATATCGTCTTGGTTGAGTATCTCTCTCCAAAGTTTCACGTCGTCGGCATAAAGTAATAAGTCTAATGTTACCTGTTGGGGAGGATCATTTATGTAGATCAAGAAGAGAAGAGGCCTAAGTGCTGGGCCTTGGGGGGCCCCGCAGTAAAGAATTCCAGAAATCCACTACACAATGAGAAAAAAAGAACTCCAGACATAAACGATATGATATCGGTTTTTGATCAGTTTCAGATGTGAGAAAAAGATAAGACAAAGCAATACCGAGATCATCGTTCATCATACGGCAAGCCAATATTAAGTCAACTCATAACCTGTGGTAAGATAACGGAAATATGTTGAAGTGTCTCAGTCTTTCTATCACTACAAAAGACACTCATCTGGTTTATGATTTCGTAAGGGATCCTAAAACTTCCCAGTCGTAATTTAGGGTCAATATGGGAAACCTTGGTAAAGAATTTACCTAAATCTATGAAAATTGTTACTACCGGAATACAACCATCTTTCGCTGTAATCCAATCTTTTCTTGCAATCGAATTTGTCAAGCATGAAAGACCTTCCCTTAAGCCGTGTTGACACCTGGCTCAAAGATTATTCCCTATCACACAGTTAAGAACAGCCGGCCGGATGATCTTTCTCATTAGCTTGACGACTACACTGGCTAGACCAACTCTTCACTCCTCGCTCTATGAACCGGACTGAATATTACGTCTTTCGAGCTTCTACTGTTAAAGACATTTCAAACAGTATTGCAAGAGGTTCTGCTGTAGTGAACGAGAACACAAGGGGGGACAACCGAACGTATATGAATACAAAATTAAAGAACATCCTAGTAAAACCTGAGAACCATACAAAGTGTCAGTCAGTTGTTTCAAACTTAACTGCTCATTCCTCAAATGCCACACAATCGTATCAGACTTCATTGTTCTTTCGAACCCATTCCCTGTTCTCGTTCTCTTTTCTTCGCTCTTTTAACCGCCTGCTGCCAGGTATTTCACTTTTGATTGTTGATCCATCCTACTTATATCTATTGATATCAGTAGCACACACCATACTGCAATTGCGACCTTCAAGGCACCCATAAAATAAAGTCATCAGCTAAGCAGATTGAGCTATAATAGATGACACCAAATTATATGTACAACATTCAAAAGTATGTTCAAAGCATTGTGTACAAAATTCAGAAAGATAATGACCAATTCATATAGGCCGCTTTCAAGACCTGACTAATCGAAAACCCGTCAAGCCAAGATTTGTAGACGGATTCATAATTTAGCTAATGCCATCATTAAATACTATCTTCTATGAACATGTCAGGACTTACTCGACTGTCGGTGTTATATTTACTTTGAGTAATAGTTTACAGAAGATGCAGTTTTTCTTCTGACCGTAGTGTAGCCTTAAGAAATTTAAATGGTCAAAGTTCAGCATTTTCGCCAGTTCTTTATCTCTGTCAAATTTCCGGCATAAACTCCTTTAGAAACACCTTTTGAGATGCTACGGATAAATGCCTTAACCTTTTCCAAATCATCCGTATATCTAACGTATGAATCAGAGTCGTTTGACTCCTCAAATTACTCACAATAACAATTGATCAAATCATCCTTTATCCAGCCGTGCTAGGGTCAAGTTTCATCTTACCTTGTGACTTTTGCGGTGCATCCTGTGATGCAGAATGAAAGTCCACCAAAGACGTATCAGCCGAACGGACGCTGTTTTTGCCCCTTTTTCTTTTTCTTTTAATCACCACATGGTCTGCCATTTCTCGTCACATGAGACATCTACATTTGGACTGTTTGAAACGGTAATGGTCTTATCCGGGCCCTCAAGTACTGGTTTAGAATCATGACTACCGAAATCCAGTCATACTTCACTCCAGTGGCTATCGGGACTCAGTAGGTAAGTGGATGACGTGATGGCGTCTGAAGATGGCGGTACTGGGTTCGAATTTGTGAGTGATGCAATTACATCCACCTGACGAGTCTAAGATGGAACGAAACGCACGTCCTGGATTCCATCGCTATCCACTGTTCATCTGTGCCTATAATACTTGTGGTCGAGGCGATTCGCACAAGATGTATATATGCCAATAAAATAGTGATCAATAATAGTCCTAAACATTAGTGAGAAGATTTAAAGAAACAAAACAAAATGAATTTGTTTTACTCTTTGTTTATTTTAAAGGAGAGTTACTTTCTTTTAATGATTCTCATTTGGACGTTTGGCTCATCCAGTAACAGAACATACTACACTCACACTTTCTTCGTTGTCAGTACTCGCGTTATCAGTGCAGCTGCCACAACTTTTCTGAAGGCCATAGTCGGAAGACATTTTCACCCCAGTAGTTCAGTAATGTCCTACTCGTATAGTAGAACATACAGAGTCAATGGGAGTTAGGTTTCGAGCATCTGTCGTATGGGGTCGTACTTAGATTGATGCACATCTTGTAGAATCAGTTTTTACAAAAATCACACCCTATTCTTTCCTCCATATGTAGAAAATTATTTTACAGCTCACATTTCTAGGTACAATCGACCATTGTAAACAAATTAAAAAGGTCGACAGTAGTTGACATGGATAAACGCCATAATCACAAGTGGGAGAATTTGCTAAAAGCGATTACCACAATTCGAGGTTGATGAAGATCTCAAAGCTTAGTCTTTCCAGTTAAAGCAGATCAAGTATGCTTTTGATGCAATAAATATACAAAATAATGGTTCATTTTCAACAAATAAGAAATCACTCTTTCTTTCAAAACGCGCACATATAACGAAAGTTAGGCAGTTTTGTCTGTGTTAAATTCTACAATATGTTTTTTTACTAAAAATCCAGCTTCCGCTAAAAAGAATTCATTGACATTTCTGATAACATTTTTACGATGGAGTCTTTTGATAGAACACGGTTAGTCTAGGGTCGGGTTAAAGTAGAGATTATGGCAACACCCAAACTATTGTTTATCATACAGAATATTATTGTGGCAAAAGCTGTCGTTTGACGATAAGATAGTGTAAACAGATCTAGAATTCCCAGTTTCCCCTTGTAGGGCAATGTCATATCACTAATTTAGTATTAAATTGATGAACTCGATCA